AACGCGAAGGCTGGACTCGAACCGCGGAAGCGTCAGCCATTTCTGGCCGGCAACTTTCAGCTGCTGAAAGCCGCTGCGCCACTACGTCCCCCAACATTTCCTCACAAGAGTTGCCATATGATCATTCTGAATCTTCAGCCCTACAATATCCTTTTTCACTTTTGAAAACAGCTTTATTTGTTGGAAACTAAACTTGATAACTATGTAATAACAATTTCAAGATAGCTTTATCATTTGAAAAACAAGGCAAGTGAAAAAAAAAAAGGAGAGTTTTTAATTGTGTCCCTGGACAATACAAAAATATAACAATCAATAGAAGATAATATATGTGACTCAGGGTTGAACTGTGGAGTCCTTGGTGCTCTCTTGAGCTTGGTTGTTTGCTTACAGATGTTTCATTACCCAACTAGGTAACATCATCAGTGCTAGTGAGTGTGGGGTTTGCTCCCTGCTTATATGCAGTAGCTTGCCCTGCCAGTTTTGGTAGCAGTGCGGTTTTCTCCTTGGTAATTCCTTGATTAGGGTATTGTTTTCTGCTTGATAGTTTGCCTGGTGTTAATCAATCCCTGCTTATCTGGGTGTTAGCTGCTGGGGAGGATGTGTTCTGGTCTTTTGGTTTCCTTAGTTTTTTTATTGTCTCGTTTGAATGGTGTGTAAATATGGTTTGTTTCTATGTGTCTACTGATGGCCAATTTGTCTGAATGCCAGGCTTCCAGGAATTCCCTAGCATTTTGGGATTTAGCTTGGTCTAGGATGCTCACAAGTTTCTCAGTTGAAATTGTGGTTGAGTCTGCACATGTGTTGTGAGATTAAAGAGTTTTTATTTCTTCTGACCACATGGCTGTAATAGTCTGTTGGTTGTTTCTGAGATGTTTTTGATGTATGGTAGTTATCCTTTTCATAGCCTGTATGAAATATATAAAAATATAACATAAATATAAATAAATATAACAATTAGGAGTGAATTTACCTTTAGCTGAGTTTCTGTAGGAGAAGATGCCAAAAATGGAGGCTGCCCCACTAACATCTCAAAGAGAATTACACCAACACTCCACCAGTCACAAAGCTGAGTATATCCTAAAAGATAAGCAGAAAAAAAAAATACACTATTTCTTTTCACTGTTTCATGCTGGGTTTAAAGATCATCATCATCATCCCATTATATGCAGGTTTGGTTGAATCTTTGAAAAATGAATTTTAACCTAAAAAATGAAATAACTGAAATGGCTCCTGTAGATCCTGCTAATGAAAGCAAAATTTGCATTCAAGAATACTCAGCTTATTTTATTCCCTGAACTTGTAAAGCTAAGAAAACATACAAAGCACTGTATTCTTCATAAAATTTCACCTGTCCTGAATGTTAAGTCATCTGTTTCACCCAATATTTGGTGCAAAAACGGTTCTGCCCATATCTTTTTAAGTATCAGTGATGTGAAAACCTTCTAGGTCTGAAGGCAGCTATGGATTTTCTGTAATTTTATCTTTTGTTCTTGCTGCTTGCCTGCAAGAACAGCTGAACATCTTACACCTTTAAGAGCTTATCCAGATATGGACAGCATATTTATACTTTCACATGGTAAACAGTTGCTTAACAATTGGTGTTAAGCTTCAAGCTTTTCCCATGACATTAAATAGCACAAAGGAGAAAAACTGGAGTCAAAATAACAGTGTCTTTCTAACATATATATAACAGAGATAAGAATCGTCTACCTTTACGTAGAAGAACCTCTGGTGCAATATAGTTGGGAGTACCAACTAAGGAATGAGCCAAGCACCTCTGATGTTGCTTTTTAGCTCTCTGCTCCAAGGTCTTCAACCTGTCTCCGCATCTACAGTTAGACACATCATCCCAAAGATCACTTGGCTCCATGCTATCCTGCCTGATGTGATTCCCTTTCAAAAGAAGAAAAAAACAAAAACAAAGAAAGAGATTACAATCGAAGATCCATAAAAACATTCCCAAGTCACAAAACATAAACTGACATTACTCACTGTTTTATGTCAACTGCAATACAGGTTTCTAGTTATGAAGAGTGTAATTCATTTCTGTTGTAATTTATCTTTACATTTTTCTATGGGTAATTTATTAAAAAGAGTGTTCCACAAATGTTAGGAGCTATAACACATCTCAGCTTTTCAGCCTTTTATTGAAAAATAAGCTCTGGGGCATCAAGTATGTCCAGAAACAGTGACTTATGTTGCATGGTGACGTACATTTAACCTGATGTTTTGAACATCCAAACTTCTATCTGACCAGGACCCTCACAGATCTTTCCAGGTTGCCTGATTTTGGACTATCATTTGTTGTATCTGTCTTACCTATGGTTGAAGTTTAGCACAAATGTTGGTGATTACCACTGCTATTTGTACTACAGTTCTATAATAATATATTCTATGTAATTTACTGCATTTTTAAAAGCTTTATTAATAATTACAGGTCTATGTATTTTATTCTTGTGCTTTGTGGCCCAAAGGCCATAATAAAGGTTTGATTTGAACATCTGCATACCTTGGTTCTCTTATTTCTATTCAGAATACTGCTACTAAAATAATTTACTTGTTTGCTGTAAACATCCAACAACTTGTTCCTTAATCCCTATACTGATTTTGTGTCTGTTCCTAGTCTAACATAAATGCTTATCTTTAAATTCCCGCTTAGCCTGCCTTCTACCTTTCTTTTTTCTCTATACTCTTTAATCCCAATAAATCCTGACCAAAGATTTCCTATTCCTTCAAGATACTTTTCTTGCTATCTTTTATGCTTGGAATTGCTTCCCATAACACTGCAGGATATTGCTGTTTTAAAATCTTTTACATGGTCCTGTTTAAAATATTGATATGGTGTTTTCAGTGTTCTGAAAACCATTCTGAGAATTTACCTAACAAGTGGGATATAAATTCTTACAACAAATAAACTTTGGACACTATTTTTAATTTCTACTCTATTTCTGAATTTTGAATTTTTCTGAATAGTTTTTTTCTAAACTGCTAATTGGGTCATATATTCCTCTACTTCAGCCTCCCCCAATCTGGCAGCTTCCATTTGCATTAGATCATAACTCCAAGAATTCTTAGCCAGCAGTGCCTTCCAAGGAAGATGTTAAATTGAAGAGGGTTGCTGTGTTGCATACCTAAGCCTATCTAAGTGTCAATAAAAAGAAATGCATACTTCTATTTAACCTGCACCCAATCCCTCTTCTTCTCTGTGCAATATAATCAGATTGTAAACTCTTCAAAACAGAAATCTGGTTCTTGTACTCTGTAAAGTGACAATTTACTAACCAAAATTTCAAACCTAGCATTATTAGTTATTTCTTCTTAAAACTATATAAACACACTACCTTTCTGATAGTATTTTGAGTTATGTGTCCACCTAAATCCAGTGCAGAGGCCAAAGTCAGTCAGTTTGATGTGTCCATCAAGATCAATCAGAATATTATCAGGTTTGATGTCTCTATGGATAAATCCCATTTTATGCACACTTTCTATGGCTAAAGTTAGTTCAGCTATGTAAAACCGAGCTAGCTTTTCTGGAAAAACTTCCATTCGAATCAACAGACTCATCATGTCTCCCCCTGGGATGTAGTCCATCACAAAGTACAAGTTCTCTTTATCTTGGAAGGAGTAGTAGAGCTTGACCACCCATTCGTTGTCTGCTTCTGCAAGGATATCCCTTTCTGCTTTGACATGAGCCACTTGGTTACGGTTGAGCACATCTTTTTTCCTCAGTGTTTTCATGGCATACAGAGCATGAGTGTCCACTTTGCAAGCAAGGCAGACTTCACCAAAAGCACCAATGCCCAGAGTCTTGATTTTAACAAACATCGATTTATCCATTTTAGCTCTTTTAAGCCTGTTATAGTTTGATTCTTTTTGGTAGAGAATTTTCCTCATTTGCTCTTGCTCTGCTTCACAAAGACCAGCCTTAATAAAAATCAGGTGGGGAAGAGAGGGAGAAAGAAGCAAAATAATCAGTATTACTGCAGAAATTATCAGAAACCTACACAAATATGTTAGTTGTGCTATAATTATAAATTAAAGCCAACCATCTTTTTGTCCCATTCTCGGGTTGTAAGCCAGTTTTCCCTAGCTTGGAGGACATCAGGTTGGGAATGGAGACTCTAAATATTTAAATATAGTACATATAGATTGTGTTCTGGTTTACTACCTTCATGTGTTTGATTAGACCCCTCTTTAAATAAACAAGCTTCTCTCTGGCATCTGCCTGGACAATGCAAAATCCTGCAGAGAAGGACCTTCACATGGGTTACTTTGTACAGATGATATCAGGGGAAGGGTATATTCAGCACAGGTCTCCCCAACAATGAGTTCTTCCCAATGGGTTCAGAACGATATTCATTTCATGACACTGTTGACAGACATAAACGCTGTTGGATTCAATACATTTAATTGTGAGAATTTACTCTGTTTAAGGTCATATGTATAAGAGAGCCAGTTTGATGTAGTGGTTAGGGCACCAGACTAGAAACTGGGAGACTGTAAGTTCTAGTTCCACCTTGGGGACAAAGCCAGCTGAGCGAACTTGGTCCAGTCACTCTCTCTCCACCCTAGAAGCAGGCAATAGCAAACCACTTCTGAAATCTTGCCAAGAAAATTGCAGGGACTTCTCCAAATTATGAAGGAAAGTCTGAGAGAAATCAATAAAGATTTCAGTGCTCAAAAGACAATGCTTAATAGTTTTCTTCTCTGTACTCCATGGCTGGAAGAAAATCTTATATCTAGTACTATATCCACATTTTAAAGGAACAGAAAAATGATGTCCTTTTGGTTTTAGATGAAATGATGCTATACTGTGTATAGAAAAGAGAAATACCTATAAACCTAATTTGTTAACATACAACACTGTTATGTGTGACTTATGTGTGGCTGAAGGTCCTAATTTATTAACTTTTGCAAAATCAAATACAGACACCCACAAAAATAAATCACCTTGGCCATTTCCTGCTCCAGCTGCAGCCGCCTATTCATTTTCTGCTGATAGGTCTTTATAACATTCTCCACATGCTGCTCCATGTAGAATTTAAAGGCAAACGGTGAGTAGCTCTTGATTCGGGACTCTCTCTTCTCTTCATCTTTGCCATTCTTCCGCACTGGCACTGGGGAGGTCTGTATTTGCTTTTTATCTTTGCCCACTTTTTCTGCTTTAGCTGTCTTGATTTTGTCATTCCTTTCTCCGTTTTCCTCAGATTTGCTGCTTGATGAGCTTGGGACTCCCCGAATGGTTTGTTCCATTCCTGGACGTAAACAGTTAATATCAAACTGCTCTGAACTATTGGGTAGCAGCAAATGTTTGGGATACGGTGGTGGTGGACACCTGAGTTCCTGATTACTATAATCAACATCTAACTGATAGGAATTTGCTCCCCCAACAGGAAGGGGGTGTTGCTCCATCATTCCTAAGCTCTCTAGTGCTGAAGACTGTGCAGGTAACCAGCCAGGATGTGCAGGGCCTACAGCAGTCTGAGGTTCAGGCCTCATCACTCTTGTGCTCTTCACCGGCTGGAGAATATGAGCAGCTGTGACAGCCGTGATAGTATTTGGAGAAGGAATGGAGGCATCAGCTTTACCTGAAGCAGCCTGCCTCATAGATACCGGCATTGGTGGTTGGTGGTTGTTAAAAGAATTGGTTCTACTCGGGACACAGGTATCTGGCCTGAAGGGTACATGTTGCCGTGGAGATGCTTCCAAGGCTTGGCTCTGTAGTGAATCACGACGGGATGAAGAGGAAGAAGAGGAGGAAGAGGTTGTTTGCCACTGCTGAATCTGAGAGTTATTCAGATCATACAGGTCCATGTTCAGGCTATTTCTAGATGGGGTTAAGAGACCTTGGGGTGGGCTGTCTGAAAATTCATTACTAAATGCGGCACCTCTAGTGATTACATGCATTGGATGAGAAGTTGGGATTGGCTGCTTGTGATGCGAATGTGGCATATACAGACTAGCCGGTGCCTGCTGGAACCCATGGCCAGAATTGTTAGGTGCAACAGCTGCTTTATTAGGAAGACTCGGATATGCTCCCTCTTGCTGCATTTTATTTTGAAAAGAATGGCTTCGCTGAATTCCATATCCAAGCCCCTCACTCTGCACCATCACAGGCTGTCTGCCATAATGTGGACTATTTGAACTGTGGGTACCCTGCAACTGCAAAGCTTGGTTGCTATGACCAGCCACTGGATAGCTGATGACTGAGGAATCCATGTTAGTAGGGTATGTTTTCTGCTGAAGATTGCCGGGAGTGTTGTGGGAAGCTAAGCATGGTGGTCTTTGCACAGGAGCATTCATAGTTGCAGACTGAGAAGCCGAAAGTAAATAGTCCATATATGGCCTGGGAACATCACTGAGCACATTAGCAGTTTCAGCACCAAAGCCAGTGCCTTCATAGGCTGGGTTGGTTATCTGGTGATAAGGTGGAAATGATTCAGTTGATCCTTCAAAACTTGGCCTACGGCTTACACTGCTTGGCATTATACCTTTTCCTATGGGGAATGACACAATAGATGGGTTAATATGAATAAATGCTGTTATTTCTCTCTCTCTCTCTCTTTCACACACACACAGAATCTTGGGTAACCATGCCAGATTTAAAACAGTTATTCACTGTGTTCACTGTTTATGCATTGGTTCTCAGTCAAGTTTACTTTTCACTGCGCATGAAATCAATTTTGGAGAAAGCAAAATGTTCTTGAATTATTCTTTATAAATATATTTGTCTTGCCCCACATGTAAAGGAATGGGGGAAGAAAAACAGTGAAATGCATAAGGGTATATTATTCTTTTCTTTTTTTGCACTGAAAACAGCACAGAATTCTTACAGGTAATCTGTCCTTGTGAATTCTATCCCAAACTTTTAACACTAAATGCAATGGGGTTCTGCAAGAGTTTCATTCAGTTGCATGAGAGATTATCACACCAAATGATCCAGCCATGGAACTTCACATACAGATTTCCAGAGTCCACAATCTCTCTTCCTCCTCCCTTACACTGTGGAACATTAGCCAAGTTAGGAGAGCTGAAATCTTAATCTTGTAAACAGACAGGGTGAGATCCACCTTAAAATAATTCAGAAAAACATGTAGAAGACTGAAAGAACTTGCTTACTTGAAGAAGTCTGCTTAATTACACGGACTATTTGTTCATTTCTAGGGTCTAGGTATCCCATCTTGCTAATGTATTCCAAAGCTGCTTCGATGCTTCTACTCCCAGTCTGCTTAAGAGCTCTGACAGCCATCTCCTAGACAAAATTAAACGCACACATGCACAAGAGATCTGTAAATGATCTGGAAGCATCTGATATCATAAATCAACAAGTACAACAAAACAGTGAGTTTCAATTTATTGATACATTAAATCTGAATATATTATGCATTTAAAGAAAAAATACAACTGCTTATATTTATTTATTATATCTTGCCTTTCCTCCAGCAGCTCAAAGCAGTATAAACTGCACTTCTCCAATTTTTCCCACAACAACCACTTTGTGAGGCAGATTAGGCTGAGAGTGGTCCAAAGTCCCCCAGTGAGCTTCTGTGATTAAGAGTAGACTGGACCCTGGGTCTCCCTGGTCTTAGACCAACATCTAAACCACTACACTCTACGTACAGATTTCAAAGAAGAATTATATCTTAAAAGGCATTCTTTCCTGCATAGGAGACTAAGATGCACCATCTTTCTGTAAACATTTGTAGGAAAAGTAATTCCCATTTTAAAAAACAACCACTTCTACCTGGTTGTTAAAAGGCTTTTGTTTAATCAGTTTCAAGCTTCAAAATGTACTAACTCAATTATTTGACTATTCAACTATAAGGCAAAACAATTGGACATTTGGAAAACAAGAAAACAGTGCTTTGGAATTTCATTCTGGAAACCCACATATTTTATCACTTAGGAATAGAACAGAGCTTTCTAGAACCAGTTGGCTGAGAATGTTCACCAAATTATAAAGCTTAGCAACTCAAGACAAAAACTCAAGTGAACCAAGTTTTGGCAAGTAGCTAGAATGCTCTAAGTATTTTTTTAAAAAATCAGTTCTGCTTGCAGCAGCAATAACACCCTGCAGCAGCTCTTCTTACAATATACTACAGATAGCAGGCTTCTGAGACT